ACTCAGGTTTATGGCCGCCCTTTCTGATGTTAGCCTCAGGACCTTTCCGCCGTCCCCCTCTGGTCTCTATACCCATGTGCTCAGATATAAAAATTCTTACATCTTCCCTTCCCATCTCTGATTTTTGAATGTGCAATTAAGTTTTGTTACCGGTAGGCATAGTGTTGTAAGGAAGATCTCTAGAGCTTCCTCATCTTGGATAACTGAAATTTTATGCCTGTTGAACAATCTCATTTCCACCTTCCCCAGCCCCTGCCACCCACCATTCTATTCTCTGCTCCTGAGTTCAAGACATCTCATATAAGTGGAATCATGCAGAATTTGATTCTTCTAGGTCTTCATGTATGGCAGCATCTCTCTCTCTCTCTCTCTCTCTCTCTCTCTCTCTCTTAAAGACTGAGTAATATTCCAGTGTGTTTACCAAAATCATCACATTTTGTTTATTCGATCATCCATCCATTAATAGGCACTTGCATCTTGGATGTTGTAAATAACACTGCAATAAACATGGGTGTGCAGACACCTTTTTGAGACACTGATTTTTTTTAATAGAGGTGGGATTACAGGATCACATGGAAGCCATATTTTTCAATTTTTGAGGCGCCTCTATACTGTTTACTATGGGGGTTTAGCCAGCATAGATGCCCATGCAAATGTACAAGAGTTTCATTTTCTCTGCCTCCTTGCCAACCTTTGTTATCTTTTTTCTTTTTCCTTTTTCTTTCCTTTTTTTTTTTTTTTTTTTGTTTTTGGACAGCAGCCATCCTAACAGGTGTAGGTGATACCTCTTGTGGTTTTGATTTGCATTTCACTGATAATTCATGAGGCTGAACATCTTTTTATGTATCTGTTGATCATTTGAATGTCTTCATTGTATAAGCATCTGTTCGAGTCCTTTGCCCAGTTTTCAGTCAGGTTATTGAGTTAAATTTTAAAGAATTCTCCTTGGTTCCTTGTTTGGGTGCCACTGTGTGTTTTACTGGGACCCTGATGGGCAGGTAGGACAATCACCAGCTCAGGAAACAGCTTAGGAGTGAGGGCCCAGTCCTGCCCCCACTGCAGCTTGGGGACTGCTGAGACTCCAGGTTGGGATGCAGGTGTCAGAGAAGGTGGATTTGACCTCTTCTAGGTAGGGCTTCCCTATCATGCTCTAGGTAGCCCCTCCACATCTTTTGTTGCAGGAAAACCTGCTTGCACTGGGAAGCCCACATTCTGGGCACACGTATTGGGTGCCCAGATGGTGCCTGTGTGTACAAAAACCCAGCACACTAACAGGACCTGCAGACACATGGATAAATATTTTGCCTTTTTTCATAGGCAATATTTGACTCTTTCAGATTTAATTGCTGTCAAAACCTGGATGTTAAAATCTCCAATGCAAAGCAAACAGTGAAGGCCTCCAGCAGGCTGTTCCTGCTGTCCCAGGGAGGTCCTCTGGCTGCCACCATCACCTGTTTCCTAGTTGCTTGTTTTTATGGAAGGTTATGTGGCCTCTGTCCACTTTGGCTCTTGAGCTGCAGGTGTAGGGGCTCAGGGAGCTGGCTCTAACTTGCTGGGAACCTGTGACAACTTGTTGAGTTTATGTTGAGGCTGAGAGAGCCTGACCTTAGCTAAGAAATCGAGAACTTTTCTCAGACACAATGACAGGTACCAATCTGGCCATCACCAGTGAAATCTGGTTTTGTGCTCCAGGGCTTAGTCCAGGGAATGTTTTATTTGATCTTGAAATGGTTGCATGTAGGATGGTGGCTATCTATATGGCACTGTTTTGGAAATTAGATAAAGAAGTTCCCTCTGGCAAAGGCAGAGCCAACCTTTGCCTTATCAGGGTGCAAGGCTTGGCAAAGAGCAGCAGCTGGATTTCAGCACCCAAGTATTCAGGAAATGCCCTTGTGCAGACACAGCCTGCCCAACTGAACCTGTCCCAGGCAGTTGGTGGTAGGATTCTTATTACAGCCTCCTCCTCTTGCTTATTTCTTTTCTGCAGTCCCCCACCCTTTTCTTCCCCCAAACCACTGACCTAGTTGCCCCTTTGATTACATTTGCTCAGTTCAGTGAGTCACTGTGCTGAGCAATCATCTCCTTTCACTGATTACCTTCTATTTGCTTCAATTATTTCACCTACATGTAATAAAAACAGTTGGCTTTTTTGCTACCATGGTCTTACCAAGGCCATCTCATATTATTCATGCCTTCATTTGGAGCGTCTGGTGTAGGTGCTTACCTTGTTGTGTTGGGGGCTGGGAGAAAAGATAAATGAATAAGACAACGTCTCTGCCCTTGAGAAACTCATAATCTAGTGGGGGAGCGAGGTGTGTAAACAGATAAATCACAGCCCACTGGTGCATTGGGTGCATGAGGAGGAGGCACAGGGGAGCAGGAGGGGAAAGAAGGGTGAGTGCCTCTGCTGGGGCCTGCTGGGCCCCTCCTAGATGCAAGGAAGGCTTTCTGGAGCTGCCATTTGCACCCCTTCTGAGGACGATCAGCATCCCTAGGGAGAAGAGGTAAAGGGATGTGTGTGGGACACTAGGCTGCAGTGGGAAGGTCCCCCAGGAGCAGCTTGGGGGTGGGAATGCTGGGGCCAGAGGGGAGCTGGAGTGGAGCTTGGGGGCTTTGTGCCTGAGGAGTGTGGGGTTTCTTCCTGTGTGCACAAAGTCCAGGGAGGCCTCTGAGCAGAGGATGGCTCCAGAATGGGAGGTTCTTGTTGAACAACCCTGGGCTCCAATCCTGGCATGATCACTTAATCTTCTTAAGTGGAACTCGCTCATTTTAAAAAGAGAGATGGTGATAATGGCAACTCTGTCATGTAGTCTCCTGGGTGGTGGGACAAATATGGTCCCAGGAATGGGGCCCAGGGGTGTTGGGAATGCTGATTCCTGCAGCTCTCAGGGAATCTGGACAGGAGCTTCCTTGTCTGTTTATTCCAGAGTGTCTTCTAAATATCCTATCTGTGAGCTTCATGACATGTGTAATGTTGGGAACCACTGGCCTAGAAAGCAGGTGGTAATTTTCTCCTACTTATAAGTTCCTACCAAATGTGGTTGTTTATTGAGATAGGTCACTGTGGTCACCTATCACTTAATGGTGGAGACCCATTCTGAGAAATCTATCGTTAGGTAATTTTGTTACTGTGTGAACGTGGTAGCATGTACTTTTACAGATGAAGATGGCTGTGACATCAGCAGGGGATGTCATCTTAGGGGACCTCCATCATATATTCAGCCTGGCTTTGAAGTACCATTATAATGCACATATTAGGACAACTACCATGGAGGAAGTGGGGACTGAAAGGAGACATTAGACTCCAGGAACATTACTGGAGTACTACTGACAGAATTTGGTGACCAGTGGATGTCAGCAAGTGGAGGCATCATTAGGGAGGAGCAGGAGGAGGCATTGGGATGCTCCTGTAGCCTAGATGCCAGTGATGCTATCCATGGAATTTGTGATGGAATTAGTGTGCAGGGGTGAGGGGTTAGTCTGAGTGTAGGAAGTGGAGATTATTCTAGATAATTCTTCAAGTTTGGCAAGTCAAGGAAACAGGATGACAGGATGAAGGTGAGAGAGGAGGTGTGCTGGGACCCTCGAGAGGCTTGCAGGAGGTTTGTGGGCTAAGGGGACAGACATAGGGAGTATGAAAAACTAAAAACAGAGGAAAAGAGTGCACACTGCCTTTTCAAATCTTTGCCTGTTTGGTAAAAGTCTGTCTGTTCCATTTGAGGCATGTCCACCAATAACTGGAAACCGGGAAGTTGGCCAGATATGATTTACAATAAGGCATTGGTTTCATGAGGCACTGTATAAATTATTGCACTCCACCCATTGTCAGGTTCCCTGCTGAGAGTGGACTGGGGTGGGGATCGGGGTGGGTCAAACAATTCAATCAGGTGCCACCTGTTATAAATTGAAAATCAGTGGGGTGCAAAATGGATTACCACCAAAATCCATTCAGGTGCAAAACCAAATTTTAAAACCCCTAACCTTTAAAAATTATTCTTTCCTGATTCTTTACAATGCCCTGACACTGAGTTTTAATATTCTTTAGTTATAAGCAATTGTCAATAGCAATACTTGCAGGAGACCAAAGGTAACAAGAGAGGACCTCCGAATCAGGCCTTCCTCTTGGAGTTTGCAAAGGTGGGGAAGTTTTGAATTGATACATTGGTAATTCTGTTAGATTCTCCAAGGCAGCAGTTCTCAAACTTTGACACATAACAGAATCAGCTGGAAGGCTTAATAAAACCTAACTGGGCTTTACCTTGGAGTTTTTGGCTTTGAGATGTCAGACTGGGCCCGAGAAGTTGCCTGTCTCGCAGTTTCTTGGGGAAACACTTCGAGGCCACACTTTGAGAATCTCTGCCCTACAATAATAATTTGACTGGCAAAGTCTATTTTGATTTAATAATAATATACTGGACTGGGTGTTGAGTTAAAGTGCCACAATTTTGTCCAGGAAGCCTGAGGAGATACAAATTGACTTGAGTACTCTTTAGTCAGAAGTGAGAGGACTTCTGGACACTGCAAAGAGAAAAGGGAAGAAATTTCCTATAACCCCATCCCTGTGCAGAAGGCTGAAATGCAGCACTTCTGCTAAAAGAGCAGGTGCTATTATGAAGGCCAAGGCTGGTTTCTCCTGGTTCCTGGGTGGAGACTGTTAAAGATTTTTGATGGCAAATCTCAGTTTGTGTGTTGGTTTTATTAGGAAGGTCAGAAAAATAAGGGTACCTCCCCCTTTAAAAGATAGCTTCTAAGAGCCTAAATGTTGGCTCTTTTTCACCGCTGCATAATCTCAGAGATATATTTTTCAAAATTAATCAAAGATCGTTGATTGTGGTTCGATTCTCTTCCTTTTTGGAGCCAGTGTAGCCATCTTATTTAAACTAGGTGTCACCAAGCCCGGTATGAAACAAGTCAGTTTCTCCAGGCAAAATAGATCCCAGAGCTACTCTTTGTGACACAACTGTAATGTCATTAACATTTGGGTCCCTCTCTTTTTTCAGGAGAAATCGAGCGATGCACGTACATCAAGTACCACTACTCCTCAGCAACTATCCCCAGAAACCTCACATTTAACATCACGAAGACTATCCGGCAGGACGAGTGGCACGCCCTGCGTAAGTACACCTCAGCCTCTTTGGCTGTGATTGTGTGTGATGTCACCTCTGGATGGCTTGGGGGACTGGATACTCTGCCTTCTGGGATCTGTGCACAGTCTCAGGACACTGTACTGGTCAGAATTTCCTCAGCTTTGATTGGATTATAGATTTACGGGGTTTACTTCTAAAAAAACCCAGCCACACTCAAAGGAAAACTAACGATCTTATTGTATTGTCCTGCTATACGTTTAAGGTTTCACCTACCCAAATGAACTTGCTCGTGGGATTTAACTCCAGCATGTTGCCCGGTTGCTAGGAATATTATCATGGCAACCTGCTAGTGCCTCATGTTGTCATTTGCAAAAGGAGCTGGTGGTTGCTGGTGGCATAACTTTGGGGATTTGCACGTGGGTGGGCACGAAACAACTACAAATCTCCAGTGATGGGCTTCAGGCCTTGGCTTACCCATGGTTGCTTAGCACAGATCAGATTCTATAGTCGAGCCTATTGGTTAGGGAATTTCTTCACCATGGAGAGTTAAATTACGATAAAGGGCGAGGCTGGCTATTTTATGCTTTTTGGCCGTGGGGATCCACTGTCTGTGGCAGATGCACCCTCCTTTTTGCTGGCACAGATCTTCTTGCTGACTCTTTTGTGACTAAGCAACCCGTCACGTCTCTTGCAGTGGTCAAGTGTTCTTTTTCTTCTCTTTTCTTTCTTTTTTTCTTTTTTTTTTTTAAACTCAACAACCTAAAGTGAAGGTTCAGTTTACATTTAAAGGCAAAGGAATGTTTTATTTTTTCTTCATATCAGGAATCCCGTAAGTGATACATTTGAAGAAAGCAGCTTTTTGGGCTGGAACATCTTTCTTTAGTGTGGCCTAGTTTTGTTTGTATGTGTGGGGTCCACCTTTTTGGTTTAACTTTCACTATCCATAGCATGGTGTGGAGAGTGGGAAGGGGTGAGAGGCAAAAAAATTAAACAAAATAGAACAGTTATTCACTGGTTTCAGGGAAAACTTTGGATATCCAAATGATTGTTACCCAGTACTTCTCTGGCCTGCAGTGATAGAGCAGGTGCCAGCAGACTGCTTCCCCCGCAAGCTGTAGCCATTGCTGTGGGCACCAGCACATAGGGACAGAGAGCTTAAAGAGTACTCCTGTGTGCCAGACACTGAGCTAAATGTGCCACATCCTTATTTAACTCTAATGTGAGATTTGCCTTACAGATCCTAATAATTGAGGTTATTAATTTCTTTATGGAGGTAGACATGTAAGGACCCAAATATATAAATAAATGAAAATATTTGCTTATTTCCCACAATATATTGGTCCAGCATAGTCACTCAATAGGAGCCTAAAAGAGATCTTCAAAATATGTAATTCCTGTTAATTTGCCACTTAGCTTGAACAGATTATGGGATTCCTAATGGGATTCGGAATCTAAGAAGGAAGAAGTTATGGACATCGAAGTTTCAATTCAGATGAACTCAGTTTAACCAAAGCTACTGAGTTTCTGTAACTGCCAGGCATGGTGGATACCAAGGCCCCCAGGAGCTCTTTTAAGGCATTTGAGTTGAGGGGTGGAGAAGTTTGGGGGTGGAGAGGCATTCACAAAGCAAATAATTATAAGGCAATGAGGTAATTACAACATAGGAAAATTGCTTCAAGCAATTAAGATAGTTTGTGGAATTTTCCGCAAGGAGAATTATTTTGGTGTAAATTGCACAGATACACTTCAAGGGAAACCTGGTAGAACTCTTCTGGCTGTACACTCTGTAGATGTCTGGAATGCAAGGAGCTCACCCATTGGGGTGTCACTGAAAACATGTCACATAGCAGCAACAAAGACAGGCTTGTGGGGAGGGCCCTCTCTGAGCCCTGTATGCCTCCAGGAAGCTCATTCTCCAACTGTAGTGCTGCTGGGTCCTGAAAAATCTAATGTGTAGCTTATGCTTTGAATTGGGGTGCTAACAAGTCTATTTTTAACTGATAAAAGCCACCAGAACGGTTGATCTATGTAAAGGTCTCTGGCACATAGTGTTGGGTAAATTGATGCTACTCTTTGGTGAAGAATTCATCTGCCTCTTTCCCGAGTCACCTAATGGGCTATTAAACTGGCAGAGAGCATTTGCCATGGCTGAATTTCATGAAAGCTGTTTTGAGCTAGAGGGCAGGTGGATATCGGAAACTGGTACTAAGTGTGATTGGGAAAGTTGCATGACAAGGAAGGACAGTAAGTGTCCATGTTAATTTTCAAAGGTCAAATGTTCATAACATTAGGAGGGAAGTGGGCATAGAAACCCCTACTGACATAAAGTGGCATCAGTTAAAGATGAGCAGACTCTTTTATCAAGCATTGAAAGTGAAATAAAATAATCCAAGTCTGATTTCTTTGCTTGTTTTGAGAGTTCTGCATGCTTTCATATCTGAGATCAAATGAATAAATTCATTTTGATATTAGGTTAGTTATCATTTTATAATTTGACCATAATATCTTACTTTCTGTAATTTTTCTCAGTAGATTAATTTTCGCCCAAGGAAAGCAGTCTGAGTTTGTCTTTTGTGAAACAACTTCTGGCAAGTATTCAGACTTTGGTTCACCTCAGTTTGTATTCTTGTATTTCATCAGGAATTTACATGCAATCTGATCATCAACCATTGTTGTGGAGAAAATGTTTTCAAATAGGAAAATGCACGACTTAGTTTATAACTGTTGTGGTTTTTTTGGAAAGTTAAGCCCACTAATGGGAGGCTCGCTTGCAGAGCTGTGAGCCCTTGCGCCCCCTAGCCTGGTGAAAGCAGGTGAAACCACCTGTGCACCATGAGGCTCGCAGATCTAAATATACATGTTAAGCTCCAGAGGCAGCAGAGGCCAAAGATCAAACCGGTATGGATGCGGTGAGTAGAAGGTGGCCTTTGTGCCGAGTTCTCAGGATGAGTTGAGGACAGGCGTGGCTGGCAATCCTGGAGAGACATTGTGGGAGCCTGTTCCTTTTTCCTACCCTAGAAGAAGGCAGGAACCCAACCTGAGCTAGGATTCTGTCCTCAATACAACTGTCCTGTCCACTGCTGCCTTCCCTTGGTCCTAGTAACCCATGTGGGTGGCAGGGGTGGGACAGGCGCCTCTGTGGGCTCCTCACTGAGATCCTCCTTCTGTCTCCAGGGCTGGAGGAGGGCAGGAGTGTCACTGGCCAGCAGAGAGAGCACAGGCAGCCTTGGGAGGTGAACTTGGAAAGGGCCCTGTTTGGATGGCTTGTCTGGTTTAATGCTTTGTACGCGACAGAAGCTGATTACCAGTAGCTGGAGTGGCCTGGGGAGCTGGGTGGCACTGTAGGGCATTTTCAGCAGCACTGTTCCCTCCTCTGACTAAAACCTTTGCCCCCAGGCTTTTCACAGCTCATGTGTCAGTCTGAGGTGGTCGCACTTGTTTGGAGAACTCTGCATCCTCAAGCAACCCCGAGAGCACCAGAGGCCATTCTGTTACCATGGCCCTGCCAGCCCGCCCTGGCTGCCTGATCCCAGTCGTTGGCCTCCTAGCCTCCCTCACGTGTCTGGCAGGACCATGGTAACATAGTCTGCCAGAAGCTGTGGGGCTGACACCTGTAGGGAAGATGTGCGAGGGGACCTTCTTCACCCTATCTCCTGATCTGCTTGGCAGGGAGGTAGCTGTGGCCAAATTTTCAGGTTGGGTCTCTGGGACTCACTGTCACTGTGTTTATGAACTCAGATTTTCTCATTCTACTTGGCCTGCGTAAGATGGAGGTTTGAGCTCACAGTTGATTGCTGCTGGATGTGAGAATCTCAGAGCTGAGGCTCCACTTTGATGCAATCAGATCTTCTCTGTTATCTTTTGAGAGGCTGTGAGCCAAGGAAGCTAGAGACTTTTTTTTGAAGCCTCTGTCAAGACTGAGGGTTCAGCTAATTAGATTGGATGTTCATTGGCACATTTCTAGCTGAGGGGGAGGGAGAGATGGGGGGAGGAAGGGAGACAGATAGAGATAGAGGGACAGAGACAGAGAGAGATAAAGAGAAAAAGAGAAAGAAAAAGAAGGAGAAAGAGAATGAGAAAGAGAAAGACAAAGACAAAGAGAAATATGCTTTCCTTTCCTGACTTCCTGCCCTGACAAGGTTCCCATGCTGGCTTGGATGGCAATTTCTGGAGCGGACCCTGCTGAGGTGCCCTGGACACAGAATAGGACCAAGTGGAGGAGCTGCCACTGTTCACAGCATGGGGGTCCCACATGCAGGGGTCATGTTACCAGTGGAGCAAAGAACATGGGTGCCGAGAAGCTACCCTGAAGCCAGGTGCAGGGATTGTAGTGAAAGTCAAGCCTAGTTAGAAGACAGGGGGAGAAGTGGGGGACAGGATGAGAAGTGGGGGACAGGGAAGGTGGAGATGGAGACAGACTTTGTGAATGAGTGAAGGTATTTTGGTGTATCCAAAGAGGGACAAGAAATCCCAGCCCTGGATATTTTTCCTGCTAGAGGTACCCGAAAACCTTTGCAGCTCCCGGAAGTTCTTCTCTGACTCTTGCCTGCAGGACAGCTCCGTCTTGGGGACCAGTCCCACCAAGCTTGTATGTAACAAGGAGCCCCATGAGTCTTGCTACTATTGGAGAACTCATACTCCATGAGTAACACACCTGGGTGGCCAAGCTCTACCTGGGCTCTCATCTGGTCACTCCGATGCCCTCTTCTTCACTCTTTCTCTTTCTAGAATTAGAGGGTCTTGCACTAAACCTTATCTCCCTAGTGCTGTTTAGACGCCTTCCAGTCACCCCAGGTCCTGCCTACTTCTTGGACCCAGATGTTCCTTGTCCCTCTCCCACTTGGATCAGCCCTGTGACCTTGGACTTCTGTGGGTTCTTTGCCACTGGAAAAGAGATGAGACAGATTTTTCTAGTGGACTGACCGGAGAGTTGCCAGCCCAGCCTGCTCATCTGTAGCCAGCTTCTCTGGTCTTTTTTCCCAGTCAGCCCTGAACATCTTGGCCTCCTGGTCCCTTTGCCCCAGCTG